CTGTTTCAGCCCCTCTGTTGGTCGCACTCTGTTTCAGCCCCTCTGTGTCTTGCACTATGTTTCAGCCACTCTGATTCTCCCACTCTGTTTCAGCCCATCTGTTTCTCGCACTCTGTTTCAGCCCCTCTGTTTCTCGCACTCAATTTCAACACCTCTGTTTCTCGCACACTGTTTCAGCCACTCTGATTCTCCCACTCTGTTTCAGCCCCACTGTTTTTCGCACTCAGTTTCAGCCCCTCTGTTTCATGCACTCACTTTCAGCCCCTCTGATTCTCGCACTCAATTTCAGCCCCTCAGTTTCTCGCACTCGGTTTCTCGCAACGTGTTTCAGCCTCTCTGTTTCTCGCACTCTGTTTCAGTCCTTCTGTTTGTCGCACTCTGCATCAACGCGTCATATTCTCGCAATCTGTTTCTCGGACTCTGTTTCAACCCCTCTGTTTCTCGCACTCTGTTTCAGCCCCTCTGTTTCTCGCACTCTGTTTCTGCCCCTCTGTTTCTTGCACTCTGTTTCAGAATCTGTTTCTCACACTCTGTTTCAGCACCTCTGTTTCACAAACTCTGTTCAGCCCCGCTGATTCTCACGCTCTGTTTCAGTTCCTCTGTTTTTCGCACTCTGTTTCAGCCCCTCTGTTTCTCGCACTCCGTTTCAGCACCTCTGTTTCTCGCACTCAATTTCAGCACCTCTGTTTCTCGCACACTGTTTCAGCCCCTCTGTTGGTCACACTCTGTTTTAGCCCCTCTGTTTCTCGCACTATGTTTCAGCCACTCTGATTCTCCCACTCTGTTTCAGCCCCTCAGTTATTCGCACTCAGTTTCAGCCCCTCTGTTTCATGCACTCACTTTCAGCGCTTCAGATTCTCGCACTCAATTTCAAGCCCTCTGTTTCTCGCACTCGGTTTCTTGCAACGTGTTTCAGCCTCTCTGTTTCTCGCACTCTGTTTCAGCCCCTCTGTTTGTCTCACTCTGTATCAACGCGTCATATTCTTGCAATCTGTTTCTCAGACTCTCTTTCAGGCCCTCTGTTCCTCACACTCTTTTTCAGCCCCTCTGTTTCTCGCACTCTATTTCAGCACCTCTGTTTCACGAACTCTGTTAAACCCACTGATTCTCACACTCTGTTTCAGTTCCTCCGTTTTTCGCAATATGTTTCAGCTCCTCTGTTTCTTGCACTCTGTTTCAGAATCTGTTTCTCGGTTTCACCTGTTTCTCGCAAACAGTTTTACCATCTCTGTTTCTCGCACTCTGTTTCAGCCCCTCTGTTTGTCGCACTCTGTATCAACGCGTCATATTCTTGCAATCTGTTTCTCAGACTCTCTTTCAGCCCCTCTGTTTCTCACACTTTGTTTCAGCCTCTCTGTTTCTCGCACTCTGTTTCAGCACCTCTGTTTCATGAACTCAGTTACGCCCCTCTGATTATCACATTCTGTTTCAGTCCCTCTGTATGTCGCACTATGTTTCAGCCCCTCTGTTTCTTGCTTGATGTTTCAGCCACTCTGTTTCTCCCTCTATATTTTTTAAACTCTGTTTCACCTCTCTGATTCTCGCAGTTTGTTTCAGCACCTCTGTTTCTCGCACTCTGTTTTAGCCTCTCTGTTTCTCGTGTTCTGTTTCAGCCCCTCTGTTTCTCACATCAGTGTCAGTGGCTCTGTTTCAGGCACATACTTTCAGCCCCTCTGTTTCTTGCACTCTGTTTCAGTCCTTCTGTTTTTCACAATCTGTTTCAGAACCTCTGTTTCTCGCACTCTGTTTCTGCCCCTCTGATTCTTGCACTCTGTTTCAGCCCCTCTGTTTCTCACATCAGTTTCAGCGGCTCTGTTTCTGACACGTACTTTCAGCCCCTCTGATTCTTGCACTCTTTCTGAGCCCCTCTGTTTCTTGCACTCTGTTTCAGTCCTTCTGTTTTTCGCAATCTGTTTCAGACCGTCTGTTTCTCACACTCTGCTTCCGCCCCTCTGTTTCTCACACTCTGCTTCAGCCCCTCTGTTTCTCACACTCTGTTTCAGCCACTCTGTTTCTCGCACTCTGTTTCAGCCCCTCTGGTTCTCGCACTGTGTTTCAGCACATCTGTTTCTCGCACTCTGTTTCAGCCCCTCTGTTTCTCGCAGTCTGTTTCGGAACCTCTGTTTCTCGCTCTGTGTTTCAGCCCCTCTGATGCTTGCACTCTGTTTCAACCCTTTGTTTCTCTCACACAGTTTCAGCCTCTCTGTTTCAGTCACGTACTTTCAGCTCCTCTGTTTCTTGCACTCTGTGTCAGGCCTTCTGTTTGTCGCACTCTGTTTCAGCCCCTCTGTTTCTCACACTCTGTTTCAGCCCCTCTGTTTCTCGCTATATGTTTCAGCCCCTCTGTTTCTCGCTATATGTTTCAGCAACTCTGTTTCACGCACTCTGTTCAGCCCCTCTGATTCTCGCACTCAGTTTAACCCCTCTGTTTCTCGCAAACTGTTTCACCTCCTCTGTTTCTCACCCGAAGTTTCAGCCCCTCTGTTTCTCGCACACTGTTTCAGCCACTCTGTTTCTCACAATCCATTTCTTGCACTGTGTTTCACCCCTCTGTTTCTCGCATTCTGTTTCAGCCCCTCTGTTTCACGAACTCTGTTAAGCCCCTCAGATTCTTGCACTCTGTTTCACCCCTCTGTTTCTCACACTATGTTTTAGCCACTCTGTTTCTCACTCTCTATTTCTCAAACTCTGTTTCACCCCTCTGATTCTCGCCCTCTGTTTCAGTTCCTCTGTTTGTCGCACTATGTTTCAGCCCCTCTGTTTCTCGATCTATACTTCAGCAACTCAGCTTCACGCACTCTGTTTAGCCCCTCTGATTCTCGCACTCAGTTTAACCCCTCTGTTTCTTGCAAACTGTTTCACCTCCTCTGTTTCTCGCCCTAAGTTTCAGCCCCTCTGTTTCTCGCACTCTGTT